GTGGTTGAGACATGTCGCGTTGTAGTGTTGACGGTAGCGCGCTGATGGGGAGGTGGCCGCTCACTTGGGGTGGCCGCTCACCTGTGAACCACGTTGTGTAATTATTCAGTGAGACTATAAATTTGATAATGGAATAGGTTAACAGAGTAGTTCTAGAAGCTATGTCTTATCATTATAAGGGCCACGCCGAAGAACCTGTTGCTTATATACAATAGTGACATTATACAAAGGCTGAACACGATATAAGGAGAAGACTAGTGTTCTTTTCTATATCTGTATTGTTTTGTACATAGGAGCAAATGCTTCTTAGATAGTAAATCTCTTTCTCCTTTTAATAGGTACTTTACGAAATAAGTCTCCTAAGCCACTTTTCGCGTAGCTACCTAGTCGCCTCGTGCACGAAAATCGTAGGGTAACCTATACGGGCCAGTTTGGTACATGGCGCTCAGCATGGTCTGGTGGAGATTCTGGACACGAAGTAGTGACGTGCCTAGTCTCCTCGTTGACTGTCAGATCATCTAGCTCTACATCGTTCTGTGATCTATTTGATCCACGTCCGAACACTTCCTCCATAGATTCACCGTATTCTCCATTAATCGTTATCTCTGGTGTCTTTTTGCTCGATTGTCGTGTGCTCATCCGGTTCCCCGAGCTCGCAGGGTTGGAAGAGTACGATCGTGATTTGTTTCTTGATTTGCATCTACTTGAACCAGTGTAGCCTTCGATCGCAGAGTTGAGCGCATGCTTGAATACGACACGAAGTACTGGGATTGAGGTAGCCACGATGGCCATGGAACACTCTGCGACTGCCCATATGATAGATTTGTACGATTCATCTGTGGCTATTAGCAATAATCCGTACATCTCTTGAAATACCTCACATGATACATCCTGTACTGTCAATTTCTCGATGTACGTGGATCTGATGATCGACGTGACTCCGGCTCTTCAACGAAGTTAGCTCAGTATTGAATCTAGTCAAGCAATGCATGAACTCACAGTATTCCCAGACTCATAGCGATACATACACCGATCTTTTCTGCGGTGCGCATTTGCAGGTTTGAAAGGATTTTCCATGGCAATATAGCAAGAGATACATCCATAAGTGCTGACCAAACTGCATCGAAAGTCAGCTAAGGAATCAAGGTACAAACTTTGAAACTGTCTGCTCACCAGCTTGGAAACGTCCATACACGACTGAGGGGTGCTTATTGATACACTCGCCGGGTATGAAGTCTACAAAAGTTTTAGCTAGCGGTTTGCATTGCACCCATGGTATAATGGTAGCAGGGATAGCAAAAATCGCCAGGGTACAGATCGCAAAGTAAACGTAGAGTCTGACCCATCCGTCCGTCAGCCGAAGCAAAGTAAGTCCAAAAGAGATCTTGCTCAGCGCAATGGCGATAGTATATATCGTCAGTTCGGCTCCGCCAATATACATTAATTTATCAAGATTGCGCAAGTCAACTAGCGTAAAGATTAGCAATCTCAGGTGTAAAATGTACGACTCGCCTTTGGTGTATTACGGTCAAGCGTATGTCCTCCGTAGCCTAGGTTGATAGATACTTGGTTGATGGAAACTTGGATCAGAAGTAGGATCTTTATTGGATAAGCTGACTGCTGTTGTCTTTGTGATGCTGTGGCACTTACCCAACTAACAATAAGGGTGCAATCGTCTAGCCACAGCTTCCCTTGACGCTGGCGAATCAAAAGCCGAGGGATTAAAAAAGCAGCAGCGACGGAGACCAACGACCAGGTAACGACGGACATAAGCGGTCCATTGCTCTCGTCTGGGTTACTAACCCAACTTTCGAAGGCAGCCATTGGATTGGACTCTAGAGCAGCGAAAAGGAGAAGGAATTGAAGGGAATGCTCCTTTGGTGCTATATCAAAATCCAACAGCGGTCCTGGCGGTACGATGGTAACGCGGGACAAGGATCAAGTTTATATCGAATGATGTTGAGGATAGGATTGCGGATAGACGTCATCCGTCCCGATAGTGGCCGGTGTTCACCCTTTTCCTTCAGTAGTGGGTACTCGGCTGAGAGACGTGTCCTATGATTTAAAACAGAACGGTGCGGCAGTTATGAAGCGTACTCTTTGGCAGATGCTTGTGGGGACGCTTATAATAGTACGTGGGTATCGGGCAACACTGGCTTGGCTGTTGGGCAATGGTAATCAAAGCATCGTTCTCCGCTAATCATGCGGTGCGGACTTCTCTGAGCGAGATTTAAACTTGTATGCGACTCTCCTAACAAGCTCACACCGGGTAAGGCAGCCTGCATACTCAGAAATTGAGGTCACTCTGGGCTGGGATAGACCCAGTAGTAGTATAAGATAGACAACGGTCTAGTCATCCCTGGAGAGATTATGCCCGCTAGTAGTAGACCAAATCCGCTAGTCTCGGATACTTCTTGGCCCGGTAAATTATTGCCGGCAGGTTTATAGACAGATGCTAGGCACCGTGACGAGCCACTAGGGCCAGGAATACATGCCTCAAGGATCCAGCCATGACGCTCGAGGGCGTTGTTCTCCCTAACACGAATCGTTAGATCTAGTAGATCTAGGAACGAACTGATTTGTGGCTTGCGCAAGCGGATCGCGGTTGATCTAAGGCCCTTGCATGGAAGACATCGCGCAACGATCTGCAAACCTCTAGTGTGGCTCTAGCCCAATCGCGTCACGCGCAGAGAGAGGACCCACGACGATCTCTCAGCCTTAGGCCCTCCACACTGCAATCTAGAGTAAGTAAAGCGGGCTGTTAAGACTGTGCTAGAAGGTACCTGACCCCAGATTGGCATCTCTATCGACAATATTCAGGAGAAAATCATAGCGGCCTATGTGCGCGCGGCACTCATTTGCCAACATGAAAGTTGAATAATCCCCGGTTGTCGCTGACCGGATCTTCCTCGCTCCAACTTCACATCCCTCCTTTACACTCTTTCACATCTGATATTATCGTTTCAACCATGAAGGCCTCAGTACTATGTAGCGCAACGCTCTTCTCATTGGCGACTTTCGCCTTTCCTGCGAGCATGCTCAAAGGCGACATCAGTAGAACGACGCTTGTGGAAATCACCGCTCTCACGGAGAGGATTTCAAGAGATTTAGAGAGTAAGCGATCTGGTGCTCACGTCAAGCGTGCATTCAATGCAGAGGCTCAGCGCATCAGTACTAGCGGTGACCATAGATACGTGAGTCGCCCTGTCAAGACGCACAACATAGAATTGCGTTTGCTAATGATTTCATTACCAGATTGCGCCAGGCCCCAATGATCTCCGTGGACCTTGTCCTGGTATCAATGTTATGGCAAATCATGGTTATCTTCCCCGAAATGGCATCTCCACAATCACACAAATGACTACCGCCGCCAATGAGGGTTCGCATGCCTTTGCACTCTAATCTACGGAGTGCTAACAACGTTAGTTTTTGGTATGGGCCTAGATCTGTCGGCATTTCTGGCAGTCTACTCCGCTGTCATGGCAGGTGATCTCACCTCTTTTTCTATCGGTGGTAAACCTAAGACTGGTGGGCTCTTAGGCGGTGCCATCTCATCACTCGGCCTCCTCAGAGAACCACAGGGCCTGAGTGCATCACATAACCGCTTCGAGGTTGATGGATCGCCTACGCGATCGGATTTGTACTCAAAGTATGTCATTCAATCTTCTTCCTCTTATTACATGGTCAGGATAACTCATTACTAGTAGTGGTGACCCAGTATCCCTCAACTTGGACTTTTTCGAGCAGCTCCTCTCTATGCCTCTTGGCAAAAACGGCATTGATATTCCCGTCCTGACCGCGTTCCGCCTTGATCGCACGAGGCACTCTATCGCTACGAATGGTCATTACTTCTCAGGCCCGCTGCAAACCCTTGCGTTAAACCCCGCCACGTATCAGTTCACTTACCGTTTCTTTGCTAACCACACCGCTGAGAACCCCGAGGGCTACCTCGATGCTAAGACACTCATGTCATTCCAGGGTGTTACTGGGGAAAAGGGTAATTATAAGTGGGCTCGTGGGCAAGAGAAGATCCCTGAAAACGTGAGTACCCATCGTAACACTATCCACCTGTAATCGCTAACGCTCATCACAGTGGTACCGCCGCGTCATCGGTGATGATTACAGCATCCTCTCGTTCGCTGCTGAAGCCGTTTCGCTTGAAGTAGCCCACCCCGAATTGATCCGAATTGGTGGAAATACCGGCCAGCCAAACTCGTTCACTGGTGTTGATGTCGACGATTTGACAGGCACGTAATCACTGTACGAACCATATGCGAGACAAATACTGACCTCTTACACCGATCTTTAGGCAACGTTTTTAATGCGCAAACACTTCTTGAGGGAAACAACCTAATGTGCCTTGCGTTCCAGGCAGCTAGCGAAGGTGCTCCTGACATTCTCCGCGGATTGTTTGGCAATATCTTGATCGCTGTACAAAAGTTGGCCTCTGTTCTAGACCCAATCATTGCAGAGCTTGGATGCCCCGAGCTTGTCAAATACGACAAATCCCTGTTCAAGGCCTTCCCCGGTGCGGGAAGTGCGGTGTAAAGTACGACTCTACACTTTCCGAACATGATAGTTGAATATTTTACCTTCAAGCCTTCCCTCGTTGTATTGATACTATAAAACTTTCGCCTACTTTCCTAGTTCCTACGCCGTGCGCGCCGCCAGTTGGCGAATTAAACTATACTAGATAGAAAATCGCATCAATATAGGGTGAGGCCTTGGTAATATGTATTAGCTAAAGAGGTTGCTAAAATTAGACGTGACACTTAATTCTATTTCGTCTTCACTCAAGTCATCTTTGTACATAGTGGAGAGTGCAGTTTACTCTGTTTTGCATTTTGGGTATATAGGGTAATTCTGCAAGTAACTAGTGCATGACAACTGCTACATGGTCGTCCATGTACTTGGAGATGTCACCTAGGAAGCAGGCTGAAATGACGCTCACACAGCCAAAAGCAATACTAACGTAGTACACATACTTGTATGCCTCTGCATACGCAAGTTGGCCGGCGTACACCACTAATTCGTATGCGCCAGGTACACCCTTAATTCCCGGAAGCTCTTTGAGCAGGGGTAGAAGCGAGCTGCCAGTGATTCCAATTGCTTCACCAATAATAGAGGGTGAGGTGACGTTGAGTTTTGTGACCATAACACCACCAATATAGTGGGTCGCCGCTGGCACAAATTTGGCTATAAGAAGAGTTAGAGTGCTTTTTTTTCGGCGCTGCTAGTGAAGAAGCTTACAAATAAATACATTATAGTAGATGCAGTACCCAACTGACCCCCCAATAACACGGACAGCGAGGGTAAGGGCGGCGACCGTAGCGATAAGATCGTCGGGGCAGATGATAGTCGCTGTTACTGTTAGTGTCGCACTCTTTATCAATGGATGAAAGAAAAGCTTACATATGATAGATGCTGGAACCACGATACCTCCGATTCCAAGACCAGCCAGAACTAAAATGCCCCAAAGCTGATGCAAATTATCCACTCGGCCAATGGCAAGGGCACCGCAACCAGCAGTCATGAGTATAGAAGAAGCGATCAGAAGCTCCTTGTTATGGCCTCGAAGTAGAGATAGCAGCCATAGCACAATGCAGGCTCCAGCGAGGATAGAGAAGCCGACTGGAATACCGCGGATACCGACGCCAACTGGGTCATGGCCGTATACATTGAATGCTTGCGTGGGCCAGAACATAAGTATGGAAAAGAAATTAGCTCCGGAGATGAAGGTGATGACAAGAGTAAGACCTAAGATACGTGGTTCCTGTCGCAGTCTTTTGGGAAACATGGGATGTGTTGCATATGCTTGCCAGACGACGAAAGCGATGATGAGCACGGCGCCGAGGATCAAGGGCACAAGAACATGGGCACTGTGCCATGGATACTGGTAGCCTCCCCACTGCATGCCCATCATGAAGAGGAGCATTCCAGCGATGGAAAGGAACCCACCGATGTAGTCAATCTCAGCGAGAATCTGCTTGCGGCTCATGCCTTGGCTGTTAACACGTGGTGGTGGATGGTAGAAGAATGCGACCAGGGCGAGGCCAATGAAAGCCCAGAGTCCAATCCAAAGTCCAATCCAACGCCAGGTCGAATGTGAGGCAATAAGCTGCGCCCATAGGACAGATGGACAGAATGGAATGATGGTGAAAACAAGGACGGCAACGTATTTACCGCGTTGCGCAGTAGGAGCCAGCTCAGATGTCACAGCCAATGCTGTCAATTCGTTGATGCCGGCTCCTATTCCTGCAAACACCATACCACAGATGAAGATGTTCATTTCGTGGGCAGTGGAGCAAACAATCATGCCGAGGATGAGGAACATCGCTCCGATCATGGCAACCCAGCGACGGCCGACAATATCAGAGATGGATCCTACAAAAGGACACACTGCAGCCAACGAAAGGAGGTTTGCAAGGATGAACCAGATCCATCGATCATTACCACCGATGTCGCCATAGATGTACGGAGGAACACCACCGAACAGGTAGACAGGGATCTGACTGCCAGTCCACACTAGACGCAAATTAGTGAGATTGTTGGTATGTAGAAGCAAAAGAACCGCTCACAAAAGGCCATCGCAATCAAACTCATAATGCGGCTAAAGGTCATTGGGGGCTCATTATCGTGATCTTCGCCATCGCCACTTGTTCGTAGGCTATTCTTCTCATAATAATCTCTGTGTTCAGGCCCTTCTTTGTCGACTTTTATTTGTTCAACTTCCACAGCAGTCGGCTTCGACGAACAAACATGCTCCGAGCCATCTGATAGAGCACATGGTTAGTACAGTATGAACAACCCTAGCGCGCGACAATACATACTGGAGCTGCTAGTATCCACCGTCATGAGCTGAATGTGAGTGAAAACCCAGAAGTGTGGAAATGGAGCGATTGGAACAATGAGGCAAGACCAAGGGTTAGATGTCAACTGTTCAAGGTTGGATGCACCGATTTTTAAATCACCGCCTGGCTGGGACTAGATCCGATTCGGAACGTAGACTTCAATTCGGCGACATCGCAAGAAGGCCATCTTGACCCCGTGGGGTACCGTCCGGCCTCTCACAATAAGCCCGTTGCGGGGTATATGTGCTAGTGAGGGCTGTAGCTTCCCTCAGGGGCTCAAGTCCACGGAGACGGGAGACGAATGTGTTCTGGCCGATGCCTGTGGCGAGACCCCGGAGGTGCCATTGGCTGACCCACGACACAAGCGTCCGGAGCCGCGCAAGCTATTAGGAACACCGTTGTTAGTCAATGGGAACTTACCGCGGCATGTTGTATCGCGCCTCACAACGTGGTATCTAACTGCTATCTCAATGTGCACTTGCCTAACAACCACCGAAGGTCCAATTGCGAAGAGAACCTTAACGAAACTTGAAGCTGACTTAAAATGATGTCTCGCACGGGTGAACAATGCTACACTGGGCAGCAGTAATCTTCGGGCAGCTTGCGCGGCGCAGAACATCGTCCGAGACGGGGTGAATTGCAGAATAGGCAATGGGCCCGGCGCTATGAGAGTAGCACCGAACTACCCCGCATGGCAATTGCTTGACTGGATATAAGCAGTAAACAAGCACCTCGGCAGGCGATAACAAGCTTCTTGGCCATGTTGCAAGGGCTTCGGGACGAATGGATGCATGGAGGCTTCGTGTAACTCCATCATAGGGCCATGTACCAAAGACATGGTCACGGCGTAATCGGGCCAGACATACGGGTTCATGCTAATTAGCTCTATACACTGACTTCATCAACTGTGTGAAGAACAATTCCCCCGTACTTTGCCAGCAATTATCTTTGGGAATGTTGGCAAGATGCGTTGGCGTGTCGAATTCAATTTCACCTGTTGGAGAATTGCTCATACTGGTTCAGTGAATTTTGGCAACCATATTGACCAACTTGCTAACTTCTGGCACCTTGGGAATGGTATCGTGAAATTCGCATACATAGAACCATGTGCATGGTTCATGTTTGAACTCTCCAAACCCAATCAGCTTCGGGACATTATCTGGGGTGTAGGGCGAGTACACTGAGTCAGATTGGAGAGCGCCGTACATCATACGTTGACTAGGCTCGCCATCTTCATACTGTATTTATCCATCAATGCTATCGACATCATTCAAGATGCGAACGAGATTACCTTGATGAAGTACGACCTGAGGTCGCCATTTTCCAACTTCGCATCAATGCGAAAGGTCTTACACCACGCACTTGCTCCGAAAGGAACTACTTGGATGATCCTGGTGCATTCAGGTAATTTTACTCTAATGAATGCTTTCAATACAGGACTGTAGGGCCAGGACCTACTTGCAGTAACTTTTTCGTCTAAATTGTTAATTATAATCGGGTTCGCTTTACGTTCATGTCTTAGCTTCTCAGCATACGCTTCGGCTGGGTTGGTGGACATGATTGAGGCTATTAAAAGCTGAGACAAGACACTGAAATCAGACTAGGTGGGAAAGTGGAAAGATAGATCATCGTTTCTTTGTCCAGCGATGACGACCGGTTAGCGCATTAGCTTGTGTAATCGTGATCACCAATCATTGAACGATTAATCTAAATACTAGCTAATATGCTTTTTTGGAGGGTTGGAGTAGTTCCCAAAGCGCTTTGAAATAGGGCTAAAGTAAGTGATGGGCCCGAGTCTGGCGCGGTGGACCGAGCGGTTGGAACCGAAGGGAGGCATCCCTCACAATACCTCCGCGTCAGCCGCTTTTTTTGGCTAAAGAGTATGTGCCCTCATATAGAAGTATCACGCTAATATTTCTTTTTATATTATCGATGGCTTGAATGGAAGTCCTCACAGAGAACGCGCACGTGCACTTCAGCATCGACTCCCAGAGTTTGCCACCGTCTCAGCCAGGTGGATGGAAATCTGGTTTTATACCCCACACGCTCACAACACCTTGTTCGAGAGAGTGAACCTAGCCTTCTTTGTCTCAAGATATCCGACACGTATCTGACCCAGTGCTGTCATCTCCATCCAGAGTCTCAAGAGCCTCAAGAACAATATAAGCAGTCGTAATGTGGCCTTTGCACTATGGTACTCGCATGCCGACACGTGACCAAGCTTGCTTAACAGCAAACACACCCATAATCCCATGTGAGCGCCACTTATCTAGCTTAGTTTTACTGTTACACTATCGCCTTGGATCGTCGATCACATTGGCAATATGCCGGACCATTCGCCCTACATGCGGGAACCAGGCACTTTCGCGGTCGCATATACATAGCGTGATCACGAACATAGCAACGCCTGCAGAGCAAGGCGCGTTTTTGAGTACTTACCCTTTGAGTAAGCTGAGTTGAGCTTCAGTCTCGAGTTTTGAGATACTGAAGAACTCCAGTGTCACGACAGCTCCCAGCTCCGGGTCCCTTCTCGGTGTCCTTGCATACCGAACGGGCCGGCGTTGAATGTTTTGGCTCCTATCAATTTTATCAAGATTCGTACTTATACTGTTAGTTGCCAGTCTTCCCGAGACGGTACCATCCGTCACTGGCAATAGATCAATCCCTCTGCCAAGATTATTGAAGCCGCTTTTTCCT